AAACGCATGTATTAAGCACTATGTTAAATGTTGCTTTATGAAGCTCCCCCACCCCATGGAGCAATTAACTTAGCAAATATTTATAGAGTCCTTTTATGTACCAGGTGCTAGAGATATAGCCATGAATAAAATAGATAACTCTGCTGTCATGGACTTTATACTGGTGGGAGACAATGTCCACTTACACTTACTTATATAAAAAGTTACGGGAAGATGGGTTCTTTCTGGAGCACACCCATGCTTTTCTTCCTTCTCAGTCACGCATCTCCTAAACTCTAAGGTTCCCCATGAGAGACTTGCAACCAAGGGAGCAACAGGCAGCAGCAGCTTTGTCTGGGGCTTTCCCCCTGAACTTGTCTCCAAGACCCCCTTTTCTCTCTGACTTTTCAGTGAGCTGACAGCAGCCCTGCCTTGGTTCACTTCTGTCACTGTGACTTTCACTTCTCAGCAAGTCCACACTGCCCTGCATGGATCACTTCTTTCCCATAATGTTTCTAGAGAGTCACAGCAGCCCTGCCTAGGCTCTCTCCTGCTGCTTCTTCTATCCTAAGCCCTTCTTTTGTTTCACTGTCTCCAGCTTTCATCTTTCATAAATGTCCTCTCAAAAACAAACAAACAAACAAACAAACAAAAGGAGAAAAAAATAAATCTGGGCGAGAGAATAGGTATGAGTATATATACATGTATATTTATGAAGATCTGGGAGAAAAAAATCAGGAGCTATTTGGGACATGTTAAGTTAAAGATGCCTATTAGATATCCAAGAGAGGAGATGGTGGATAAGCAGCTGAATATGTGTACATGGAGGAAAGAGCCCTAGTTGGAGTGGGTTCAAGAATAAGTGAAAAAGAATTAGAGAGAGAAAATGTGGTCAATTCTTTCTGAGGACTTTTACTAAAAAGAAGACTGAAAACTGAAAAACAAAACAAAACATCAAAACAGGGAAAAATTAATGACAACTGGAAGAAACCCTGCTGAAGCAGTGATCTTGAGCAGGCCTTGCTAGCAACTTAGAGTCTACCCACAGTAGCAAGAAGAAGGGAAGAGTTCATGGGCGCAATGCAGGTGGGTGGGTTACGTGGTAGCAGAAACCTGTGAAAATGCTCTTCTACTTGCCTCTATGAGTGAAATAGTAACGAAGGTTACCATCTGACAGTGAAGATAGAAAAGGTATGGCATACTTAAAGAACAAGAAGGTATAGTTATGCAGAAAAGTAGAGAATGAATAGACTGGAAATAAAGCGTAATTACCCAGCAGTTAAAAGTCAGTGTCTAAGAAATTAAGTGAAATGACACTAGTTAGCATGGCTCTGTGTTTCTTTCCATGCAGTATGAAGTACAGATAGTTGAATTTAACCCATGGGTTAGCCACAAAAGTATGATGAAGCAACACAAGGGGATGGAAGAGTGTACACAGGAGTGATTATGACAACTATAGTGGTGAGAATTAAAACTGCGTAAGGAGGGAAGTAATGTGAGAGGTGTGAGGGTGAAAAGGTGGCAGGATCAATAAATTACAGGTCTGTTGGGGTAAATAAATTATTACTGTTAGGAATTAGAGGATATTAGTTGAAAGGAAGAAAAGAATATAGTCAAACAGCCAAATGCATGAAACTGCAATTTTGGAGTGGCTGCAGATACTGGTAATGACAAAGTCCTGGATATGACTATGAGAGTAAATTAGCTGAGATACTTTTGGAAGTAAGATCACAGGAGGAGAAAAAGGAAAGGAATAAGTGGCCTGGATGTCTGTGGGGACGTACTCACTTGTATGTGCAAGGTCAACACTGTAAAACATATTTCTAGCTGGGTAATCAATATTTAAAAGCCACTGCTTCAATGTTTCACAAACTTTCATGTTCATACGAATCATTTGGAGATCCTGTTCAAATGCAGAATCCAATTCAGTAGATTCTTTAAAAAAATTGTTTATTAATTTTTACAGACAGCGGAGAAAGGAAAAGGGGAGGGAGGGAAAGGGAGATATTTACTGATGTATTGTTTCACTTATATATGCACTCATTGGTTGTTTCTTATGGTGAGCCCTGACCAGGGATTGAACCTGCAACCTTGGCATATTGGGACAACATTCCAACCAACTGAGTTACTGGGCCAGGGCCACAGGAGATTCTTTAACAAGCTGCCACATGATAGTGATGCTGCTGGTCCAGTGCAATAGCCCTTAAATAGCCTTTGAACAGCAAGGCTCTAGTCTGGACCATCAGTGTAACTGTATCCAGGAAGCTATTTATTTATAAAATGCTTCTTTAATTCATATCATGGCAATTCTCACTGAGACAGTAGTCAAAGGGTAAGGAATATCTCACAGTATTTCCTCACTTTATGGTCTTTTATTTCCTCTTTTCTATTATTCAATACTTCTTAGTCATGACCCAACCTCAACTTTTCACCTTTCTCTATTTATCAGGCAAAGACAAGTAAGCAGCAGAATCAAGATACTGCCTTATGTTTATTTTAGGAAACATTCCAAAGTTCTTTTTAAAATATGTGCTAATGACCTGCTAAATTGTTTTTATGTCAGAAAAATATACTATAATGAGTATCATAAGGTATAGCAGTCAGGGTTGAACTAGAAAAACAGAAACCATACCTGAGTATTGTATTTAAAAGAGAGAACTGAATGTAGGGTGCTTACTACAGTAAAGAAAGAGCTGAGAAGCCCAAAAGATGGTAAAGCAACTCAGAGACTGACAACATCAGGAAGCTGCTACCATCCCTAGGCTGGGAAGACAAAGTTAGAAAATCAGGGTTTCCAGAACTTAGAAGCCAGGCCACCAGTGGGCTTGGTGGGAATGGGCTTGCACTAGAGCCATACAGCTCTTCCTAAGACATACAGCTAACCCATGCAGAGAGAGAAGAGTCTTGGCTTCGCTGCTTTCAGCCTTCCATCTCTGGTGCCTCCTGTCAGCAAACCCAGAGGGGAGTCAGATGGTACAGTTACACGAGTTAGTTTTCCAAACAACTGCTTTTGGTCTACTCCCTTATTTCCTCTTCGCAAGTATAGCCTGTGCCAATTTCTGACAGCAGGCTCAGACCCATCATCTCCATCAGGTGTGTCATGACAATTCAGAAATTTAAATAAAAACTTCAAGGAAAAGGAAGTCACTTTTGCTTAGTATCCTATACTAAAGCCAACTGTTTGGCTAATTGTCTCAGGACTGAGCCATGCCTAAGAGATGGCTACCAAGGTTCAGACTTATTGAAGAAAGAGCAGATTATACACAGAAATGAGCTCACCAAAGATAAACTATGTCATGAGAACCAGAAATACAAATATACTGTTTTACCTATTATTATTGTATATACTTAAAACTATCAAAATAAAAATGGAAAAAATGGAATTTGAATATTTTTATTAACAGTTGCTACTACTAAGGAAAGATTTTAATGTGTCCACAAAGTACATGTGGGTTGGTTGAAAACTATTAATTGATCTAGTAATTTGATTCATAAACTCTATCTTTGATTTGGTACTTTAAAAATACACAAGAGTTCTGGCTGGTATGGCTCAGTGGATTGAGCATGCCTGCCTGCAAACTGAAAGGTTGCCAGTTTGATTCCCTGTCACGGCACACGCCTGGGTTGTGGGCCAGGACCCCAGTTGGGGGGATGCCAGAGGTAATCTACTGATGTTTCTCTCACACACCAATGCTTGCTTCTCTCTCTCTCCTTCTCCCGCCCTTCCCCGTCTCTGAAAATAAATGAATAAAATCTTTTAAAATCCCCTCATTGTTACTGTTATCATGTTAATTATTGACTCTTGATTATTCTGTATCCACCTAGGTAAAAGAGATATGTGTCTATTGTTTAAAAAAAAATACACAAGACATGAGAATCAACTTGCTTGCAATAGTGAATTAATATATATAGAGAGAATAAGCAGTCATAGCCTGAAAAGATACATCCAACTATCAGTTGTAAAGTCTAACTAGATTACAAAATACTTTATTTTTTATAGTTGATTAATTTCAACTTGTTATTGGGCTACAGCAATAGAACAATAATCTAGCTTGATTTTTTTTTAAATCCCTACCCGAGGATATGTTTTTTAAATTGATTTTAGAGAGACAGAAAGGAGGGAGGGAGGGAGGGAAAATGAGAGAGAGAGAGAGAAACACTGATGTGAGAAACAACAATCAGTTGCCTCCTGCACTCGACATGGCCATGGATGGGGATGGAACCTGCAATCTATGTATGTGCTCCCACCAGGGACTGAACATGCAGCCTTTTGGTATATGGGACATCGCTCAAACCTATGGAGCCACCGGCCAGGTCTCCAGCTAGATTCTTTAGCTTTCAGGGTATAAATATAATTTTTTAAAACAAATACAGACCCCAAAACAGTATGCTTATTTCAAGTTTTTAGATTTTTGCATTTTAATTTTATACTTTTGCACATTAATGAGTAGTATCACTAATAATAATAGCTAGTATTTGTTGACAAGGAAACTAAAAAATGCTTGATGGTAGTTTTTCTTGATAAGTAATTATAGGTAAGCTTAGAGCACTTACCATGTTGCCAGGCACTGTTCCAATGCTTCATATTTGTTAACTCATTTATTGCTCACAATAACTTTTGTGAGATTGCTACTACTATTATTCTCATTTTACAAATACAGATATTGATGGAGTGGTAAAGTGACTTGCCCAGCTAGTTAATGGCAGAGCCTTAATTTGAACTCTGGCAAGTGGTCCAGAGTCTTTGCTTTTACCCCTGTGCTACACTGACTCTCGTTTCATCATTAAATATAATAAAACAATATTAATGTCTTGCTGCTTTTCAATCACTTTTACAAAGTTCACAATATTTTACTATACTTATATTTTTAAAAAGTGATGGAGACTGACCTCTGCACAGCAACAAATCGAGTTTCACTGATTTTTCTGACTCATTACTAACAGACTGGACCCCTCCAGGCACATTCCATTTCCACTACCCAAAACTTTTGATTGCTTATCATCTCTTTTATAAAACTTACCAATAGTAAGGTCATGCACTGGCTGAAACCTCTTGTCTGTAAACTGTAGCAATAAGCACGATTTACCAACACCTGAAAGTTAAAAAAAAAAATTAAGATTCAAAACTCAGAGATATTAAGAAACATTTTATAAAAGCACATGGAAAATAGGAAGCCAGGGTTTCTGGTGATCTGTGAAAAACCTACCATGATTTCTCAGTGCTCTAATTTCTTGAGAAATTAGGATTGGTAATTTAGATGGAAGGTGTTAATCAAACCAAAACACCCGTTTCTCATTCTCTTTTATTCATTCAACATTTCAATCTGACAGATAAAAGCAGCAGTAACTCGTACAAGATAAGTGAGATCCTCCCAGTAGCCTCTACTACAGTGCTTATATATTTTAAAACAATTTCCTCTTTGTAGTTTATCTTCTTTTCTAAAAATAAACAAACAAATAAGCTGGCAGTCTTTGGATCTACTTTTCTGTAAAAAGTTGCTTGCTATATCTTCTGACTAATACATCTGAGGATCAATTCTAATCTGAATTGCATTCCTTCACTCTACCACCATTATTTCACCTCATTAAGGTAATGAATAACTTCCACATTCCTAAACTACAGGCCTATTTTCTATATTCGTCCTACTTGCCCTCTTATGAGAATTGGATATTGAACATCAACAGCACCTTCCTATTCATTTTCAGGCCCTTATCTTCACACTAGACCAAGTCCGCTTACTTGACAGCATCCTGCACTTCTAGAAAACACTGAAGGCAGTGATCATTCAGTGAATTCGTTTGTTCATTCATTCATTCACTCACTCACTCACGCACTCAAGTCTTTATTGAATGTTAATCATGCACTGCACTGATTTGAAGAAACGAGTGTATGGAAAACTGTTGTTTCCTTTCTCACAGTCTAACACAGGTAGAGAAATTAAACAGGCTGAATGCTCAAATCATCTATATGAACTGTAACTTGAAGTAATTACAATAACCTCCATTTGAAAGAAGAAAATGGTGTTATGAAGATGAGTAACAGAAGAGACTTAATTTAGACTGACAGGCTGGAGAAGTGACAGTTTAAGCTGTTTAGTGACTTCTGGATTATAAACTCATGAGGACAATGAATATCTTGTCACTTGCTGTCTTGTGAGAAAGACACAACACTTAATTTTGCTGAATGATTGGCCCTTTTGTCAAATGTTATAAAGATTATCAAAATTCCCAGTAACAAATCAAAAAAAATGTCCTATATATATATAGCTCTGTTTCAGGAAACAGTTTATTTGTTCAAAGTTTCTTGAATGTTTTAAAATTTTAGTTAAATGAAAATAAACTGGAATTTCAAAACATTTGACCTTAGTTTTCTTCTCTTCCTTTTATCCATGATTTTTTTTAATAGTATAAAATGCACAAAGTCTAACTCATTTTATAAGATTTCTAACTCCTTTGAACAGCTTTTCAGGTCTTGGATAGAAAGGAATATATTTTTAAAGTGTGAAAGTACATAATAGGTGAATAACTGAGATGTAAACCTTCAGTCCTTTTTTAAAATAGATTTTATTATTTAAGAGCAGTTTAAATTCATAGCCAAAACCCAGCAAAAAGTACAGCAGCAAGTTCCCATACTTTCCCTGCCCTGTAGGAAGCACAGTACCTCTTCCACTATCAACATCCCGCACCAGAGTAGTAAAAATTGTTTTGTTACAATCAATGACCCTACATGGACACATCATCATCACTCAAAGTCCTTAGTTTACATTAGGGTTTTGACAAATGTATAATGTATCCACCATTACAGTATACTTGCACTGCCCTACAAATCCCCTCCACTCCACCTATTAGTCCCTCCCTCGCCCCTTACATCTAGCAACCACTAGTCTTTTTACCATTTCCATAGTTTTGCCTTTGCCAGAATGTCATATAGCTGGAATCATACAGTATGTATGGCCTTTTCAGTCTGGCTTTTCACTTAGTAATATGCATTTAAGATTCCTCTGCATCTTTTCTTCATTTCTATTTTTAACACTCCAAATTTTCCCACATGGCACAGAAAAAATGTAATTAGAAAGCACAGATTTTATTGCTAAAGAACCTCAAGAATCATCTAACTGCCATTTAAGTGATACAAGAGCCTGAAAACCCTTTCTTACTTCACAAGAGAATATGTAGTGCTCTAGTAATGCCAACACCAGTTATTCTGACCAAGTGCTGGTTTTACAGAAAATGCTTATCCTTGGGTTCTTCACTTTCAAGAATCCACATTGTTTCTTCAGGTAATCAAAGTATCTTGGAATGCAGAGAATATATCCAAGTGCCATTGTAATGTTCCCCAAGTCTCCTTAATTTTATTACAGGCCATTTATTAGAGTCAGTTATATTTACAGGCAGCTTTTATTCAGTATTTTTTGACTTCTATTTTAATTCTGGAGAAACCTGTTTCCAAATACTTTTGGGGTATCTGACTCCAAATCACCAAACTGAATTATCATATTTTTCAGACTGTAAGATGCACTCCCCCCAATATGGGAGGAAAGGGGGTGAGTCTTATAGTCTGAATGTAGCTTGCCTGGCTCGTGGGGGGGTGGGGTGAGGGCAGTGGAGCAGGGTCACAGGTTATTAAATATCTGACCACATTTTTTGCCTCAAGAATTTTTTCCCTATTTTCCTCCTCTAAAATTTAGATGCATTTTATAGTCCTAAAAATACGGTAACTAGCCTTTTCTCAGTCCTCATCTTGTTTGATCCAAAAATAGGATCTACTTGTGCCACAAATCATAGTTTACATGCTTACAAACTCCTTGAAAGTAATCTCTTTTGGCTTTATCAGGCTGTAACTATCTCCTTAGTTTTTTAATTCTGTGACAACCGCTCCTCTTCCCTCACGAAAGCCCTAAATGCTGGAGGTTTTTTCCACCATCCAATCTTTGGTTACCTTTTCACCTGAGAGAACTAATCAAGCTCTAAAGCCTCAACTCAAGTCTACAAATTAGTCAGTGATTATCTAATCCATCTCTCCAGCCACCATTTTAACTTCACTCTCATTATTTCCAACTGCCCACTCAACACGTCCACTTTAATTCCTTCAGGCCTGAAACTCAAAATTCCAAACACTAATCCCTTCCTTTTCATTCTCCTGCCACCTTCTTCCCAACCAACAACTCAGAACAAACTCAGCCTCTCCTTCATATTTTCTTATCTCTAGACTTGCCTTCTCATGGATCACAACAAGAAACTCAAAATCACCTCAATTCCTCATTTTCCTTTAAAATCAACTATATCATAATGCTTTATAGGCTCTCCCACCAGAATGTGACCCCTAACAGAACATAAGCTTTATTAAGATGGAGACGATACTCAAGAATGTATCTCCAGCACATAATGGATACACAAGTGTTATAGAGCCTCTTTCCGTCCTCCTTTCTATTTTCTTACAAAACTGTCTTAGCTGTTAAAAAAAAAGAGGAGAAAAAAGCATCTGAGATCTTGCTTCATGGCCATTGTCATCAGTTTTCTAAAGGGCCAATCCTTATTTTATGATTAATCATACTAATCTGAAACTTTAAAGACAACTTTTACTGCATTTTAAAATCTAAGAGCACTTGTGATTGTAATTACTGTATTAAGCTGTTTTTCAAGTGCTCTATTATATGTGTTAATAGTAAAACAATTAAGTAAGCCATATCTCTAAATATTCAAGTTAAATGTAAGCTTAATTCAACAGATTTAAGGAACATTAATGCAGCTCAAGTAGCTAACCCCACAAAACTGATGCACAGACCTTTTGAGAACTTCTATTGCATCACCGGTCCAATATGCAGAAAGGAGACCTTTAACCAAAGCACCAGGGCAAAACCCAATTTTTATTCATTTTTAATGTAACCACATGTATCTCCAATGCTTGCCAAACATCAGTCTTTCTAGAAATATGTGTCTACTACGTTCTGAGTCTTAGCAACTGGATTATATCAGTAAACAATAAAGACAAAGGCTTGGCCCTTGGGAAGTAAGGAGAAAGGGACAAGGAATAAACCTTTAAAAAATGTGTGTGCGTATTTATGCACAGAAAGAGAGACAAAGAGTGAATTGCATGTTAGTTGTAAGATGTTAAGTGTAATGGTCCGGAGAAAACTCAGCCGAGTAAGGATATGGGACCTGGACGATGGGGGAAGGGAAAAGGGTGTGGTGTTTAAAGGAGGTACTCTCTCACTGACAGGAGGAGATTTGGGTAGGACTAAAGGACTGAAGGAGGAGAGGAAACAGGCAGATGGATTACTAAAAGAACACTCCAGGCTGAGGAAACAGAGCAAATGCTACGAGGTGATTATGTGCTGGAGAAACTGCAATAAGGCCAATTTGGCTAAAGCTTAGAAGGCAGGGAAGAGACATATCCATAATAGACACGGCAGGACTTAGGTTTATGTGTAATAAAATGGGAGATACATTTGCTGGAGGGTTTTGAGCAGAGGAGTGATATAATTTGACTTAAATTCTAACATTACTCTGGCTGCTACAATGACAACAACCTATGAGGAGAAGCAGATGAGAGAGGAAGCAAAGATAATGACTGGTTAAGAGGCTTTCTTTCTCAATCAAGCAAGAAATGGTGGCTTAGACCAGGGCAGTCACAGTGGATGTGGTTCAAAGTTACTAAATTCTGTATACATTTTTGAAACAAAGCCAGGAGAATTTGTTGATAGTGTTGATACAGATTTTGAGAGAAGTAGGTAAGTATGGCTCCAATATTTTTTGCCCGATCAAATGGAAGAATCAATGAGTTGGGGTAATTGTAGGCAGAGATCATTAGTTCCAGTTCAGTTATTTTGAGTTGAGGTGTTTATTGGACATCCAAGTGGTAAAGGTGAGTAGGAAACTGGATATTAGTCTAGGCTTCAGGAAAGATGTTCAGGCTGGAGACATAGTCATTAGCATAAGATGGTATTTAAAACCATGTGAAGAGAGTAACTAGCAAAAAAAAAAGACACGTTTGTTTTATAAAAACACGTGTTTTATAATTGCGGAATTAAACAGAAACAGAACAAACACAAAAGTGGCCTTCCAAATCCTTCTCTTACCACTGGAACCTGCA